AAAATTATATATAAAACAACATAAATCTACAATTACCAAACGACCAGTTGTAATATAATCTTTTGAGAAAAAAATGAATCAGATGATGTACTTTGTAATCAAATCACATTCTTGAATCAAATGGTATATATTAACAAGGAAGTAGACCTAACATAGTTTATCTTAAGTGATAATCATAATAATAATAATAATAATAATAATAGTAATAATAATCTTAAACTTAAATGAAGTAAAAATAGTTTTTATCTCATCAACATAGATAAGTTATTCATATTAAATTATATATACAATAGAATTTAACTATTTATATGAAGAATTGCTCACACTGATTATTCAAAAGTTAGCAGAAGTAAACCTAGAATAAACATATTCAATTTTCAATTGGTTTGTAGGTAGACTTGATCGACGTTAATACGTTGATGAATAAAAAAAGGGATGCAAATCATTTTATCCATCGTAAAATAAACTAAATTTTTATGTTTTGTTAAATTGTAAATTGTTTTTAGTCAGATGATTTATCATGAATAGAAATGTAGGTGTCCAAGCTTAACTAGAAGAGTAAACAATGTGATGAAGGCGTACGTAGGCTTTTTGTAATATACCAGTTCAAATCAATATGAACTTGTCTTTCATTTCTTCTAAAATATACGTTTTTATTATGTACAAGGAATTCAGTGTCATAAATTAAAACAAATCATAATGTAGTACGGTTAATTTCAAATTAGCTACGTATCAGTATATATAGAAGTATATAAGTAGTATAGAAGTATAACGATAACTATGTAATCCTTGATTTCCATTTATTCAAATTATGAAGTGGATAAGTGATTGTTTTGTTGCACAGTGGACATGAACAGCATTGTTGGGGATGTTAGATCCCCAAAACTCGCTTGTTAAATGCCTTATTTTGGATTTCACGTTTGCCAGCATGGGCTGATCAGTTGACCTTGAGATTTCATTTCCCAGACAGGAAAATCCATGGCTGTGATTGGCTGTTATGCATTTTAGTGTGCTATTTTCGTAACTGTCCCAAGGACAGTATAAATAAACGAGGGTTGTATGCTTGATTGTACTGTGATTGCTGGGCATTTGTAGAATATACTTTCTACGCTTACCAAGACTTCTGTTTTGCAGTTTGGGATTCGAAGTAGCCTACCTGGATGCTGCTAAATGTCTCGTTCGCGTTTATCGACAAAGGTGAACTCGTAATAGCTTTAAGCGTACCAGGTGGCGAACATAAAAAGCATTATGATTAGTAAACTCTGATGACAAACAAACTGGTACCAAGTTAGGATTCATTGTACGGAAAATCTATATTTCAATTTTCTATACTGTTTTTTTATAAATCAAATCAATCGAGAAGCGATTAGTAAAATCTTACAAAAAAAAACATTTTAAAACAGTAAGACAGAAGATATTTTATGATCATTATCAAAAACTGGACGAATATTGTTGGGTAGAAAAATATCTTCAATAAAAAAATTGTCAGTCAAAACGATTTAAATGATTATCTGCGTTTGCGTAAAAGCTCAACAATAGGTGTCAGGATTAAAGGCTTCAGAAACAGCACAATTTGTATATGAATAAACCAGTTTGTGCAAAACAGAATAACGTTAGAGTACTGCAATGACAATCATCGAAACTAACAAGATAGACGGAATAAGTTACGTTGAATACACCGCATTGGCAGGAGATTGGATCGATGAGCAGAACATCTTATGGATCGATTCAACTAGCGTTTAGCCTAACTTCAGTAACCTACGATCTCCAGTCAACCTGAATGGTGAATTGATTAACGTCCTCCGACTCTTAGTGAAGTTGAAGAAGCGACAGGAAATCTGCAGCGACGGAGAGCAGCAGGTCCTGACAGCCTAATCCCTGAGAATTTTAAGTATGGTGGTCCACTTTTAGCAGTGAAGTTGACTGAGATTTTAAGTTGAATTTGGGAACTGGAAGTAATCTCATCCGACTGATTTCAATCACTGATTGTCCCGATATATAAGAAAGGACGAAATCTCTTTTGATAATCGGAGAAGAATAAGTTTAAATAATAAAGTGTCCAAAAAATATTAGATTCAATACTGCTCTGACTCAAAAGCAAATAATTTAACTTTACTCAAGCTCTCTACTCGAACACTTCTGATTGGGTTAGAGCTTATGGCAAACTGCCATCAGAATTTATTACTTCAAGTGGTGTTCGTCACGGTTGACCTTTTGCTCCATTCGTATTCAACTCTGTTATTGACATGCTTTTAGAAACGAAACTTTCATCATTCGACTTTTCAGAAGTTGAACTTTTACTAAGAGATTTGTTTTTTGACTGAGAACATACTGATGAAATACTTATATTCGATGAAGGCGTTGAGAAAATGCAGTCTTCTGACCACGCTAAGTAATAAAGCAGGCATTTTCGAGATGGGGTTCACTCCCTCGAAATGCAATTGTTGCCTCAGGATTGGCTCGCGTCAGCAACTGAACTAGTAATAGGGAGTGGAGTAATAAAGCGTGTCGACCGTTTCACTTATCTCGGAAGTCTCATCAGGGCTGATGGACTGGCGAATGACGAAATCACAGCACGGATACAGAAGGCTCGATTGGCTTTTGCCAACTTGTGTTACTTATGCTGTAGGCGAGACATACGTCTGCTTACCAAAGGACGAATGTACTTCGCAGCAGTTCGCTCCGTCCTACTTTATAGCAGTAAAACATGGCCGTTCAAGGAAGAAAGCATTCGCAGGTTATCAGTGTTCGATCATAGGTGTCTTCGAAACATTACTTGAATATCCTGGGACAAACGAGTAAGTACTGCTGTTGTTAGGAAATGGGTACTATGAAAGGATCACGGGCCAATAGACGAAGTATTAAAACTTCATCACTTCAGGTGGTTAGGGCATGTGTTACTTATGCCTAACCACTGACTGTCTCGTCGAGATATGTTTCGCAATATAGGAATAGGTTGGAAAAAAGCTAGGGACGTCCAAACCAAAACATGACAGAAATCCATGAAGTAACTGACAAATGGACTAAGCCATGTTGGTAAGTGTAGACTTCCTGGCTGGGGTCCACGAGATGATAGTAATCGATGGTTAGAGACCTTGAATGACATGGCTCAAAATCGTTTGCGATGGCGCACGTGCATCCACCCTTTGTGTTCTCTCAACTCCTTGCCTTCTGAACTCCTCGTAACTTTTTTTAAAATTTAATTCACTGGATTATACTTCTTGAATCATATCTTCGAATTCTAATCTTTCTCATTAACTCTACTACTTCTATTACGTATACTACTATAGGATTTGAATATACAGTTCGATCTTTTTCTGGTAATGTATTATGGCAACTTGATCTGATGTACATACGTACGAAGTTCTATGTTGTAACTGACAGAATACGCTTCATGGTAGGTGATGTACATAAGGTTATTATTTACGATAGTTTGTTGCACATCTGTTTCGAGATTATGCAACTTGAATATAAATGCATTAGTGATTGTGAATATTATAAGGTATGATATTCATGAATACAAGACTTCATTAACTTCAGTGTTATAAATTTAAATCACCGTTTCGACCAAGAGGAAATCTTCATATATTCTCACTATTGTTCTGTACAATGAGCTACATAATGTCCTCACCAATGATTGGCTTCGAGAGGAAATTCCTGGATTTTTACTAGGAAGTCGTGATAAGAGGAGTTTAGCCGTATCGGATGTGAGAAAGGTACCCACTGAAAACAATTGAAGATTGTGGTAGGACAGCGATAATTGAGGCAAAACTTGTATACTATTAGATCTCAGACCAGGTTGAGAGTCCATACTTGAGACTAGGGATCCTAGCTTCTATTCCTTACGAGGGGATTCGGAGATATCCACTGCTTAGTAGTCTAATATTAGGACTAAACATCTGTTTACTCCTACCAAGTTCTCGATAAGTGCCTATCTTAGATCACTTAGCGGTCTGGATAATATATCAGTTTTGTTCTGTTGTCACAAGTAGAAGCCCTTTATTGCCACACCAAATAGTCAAATCATATATATTAACAAGCATGTGAGCACCTTACCAAGATAGAAAAAACAAGAAAACAACGAAAACAGAAATAGTTGATGTTTCAACCTGTAGTTTATTTGTCACAACTATATACTCGACGAATAAATTTTATTTTTGCCTATTCAAATTCCTTTGTCATTTCTGCTTTTTTTGGCTATTCATTGAAAAACTTAGAAATGTATTAAATTTATACAGACCTAAAAAATTGTCCATGATTGTCGTTTGCTTTCAAATACGTATCGTATGAACCATCAAAAATAATTGTGCATAAACAGAATTAGCATACTACAAAGCCGATAAATAAACACGAATAGAATAAATAGCATGCAATGATGCTTAGAAAAAAGTACATTTCAGTATCAATTAGATTAGTTGACAAATTTAATGCGTACGCCTGTCTTTCTTCAAAAAATGAAGCTTTCATTTTATGTTACTGAAATGAAAACAAAGTAGTACATATTACTGAAGAAGAAAACCAAATAAAGAAGCAAAAAAATTCAATTTGAAAGACATGTGATATGATAGATGGTACATTCAGCATTTAGATGAATAAAGTAAGGTATACGAGAAAAGGCAACATGAAGAATACACAAACTCCTTGAAATAATTATATGACAATTACTTATAAACACAAACTCATATGCGGATAAATTCACACACACAGAAACACACAAAACAATAATTCAAAGTATATTAGTAAACATTCAAACAGTAATAATAAACACACAAAGAGGCCAAATAAATGTAACAACTAACTGTGTATACAATGTGAAGAAAATGAAGTAAAAAATAATTGGGATAGATTATGCAGTTAATTTATGACTTCGAAGAATTTATTAGTTAAATTGGAAGAGAAACTTCAAGGAAAGTGCAAAATAAAAACCATAGTAAATTGATACTATGAGAAAAGATTGACACTGAGTGTGTTTGTGTGTGTGTGTGTGTAGATATATTTGATTAATTAGGCTTAGTTGTTAGATTACTTGGGGACTGTGTAGGAGATGAGAAACTGAGACGTTTGGAAGATGAAAGCTGATCTTTTTGATTATTATTATTATTATTTATTGATGCTGTGCTGAAATAAGGAGCAATATTTTTATTCAACAAGGTATGACACACATCACATACAACAGCGGGATGACCAAATGGTCCAGCTGGCACAGTGTTCTTTATACAATTGGAACAGTGAACTTTACCACAATGACGGCAATTGATTTTTTTCAAACTGGCACTATTGGAAGGACCAGTTGAAAATAGTGAATTACAAGCAAAACAATTAGTCACATCATCCGCATTAATCCACCGTACTTCTTGATCTTGTTGTCTCAATCTTTCCAGTTGAACCTGAAATAGATTTGAAAATACAACTCTAGAAAAGAAAACCATCATAAATTACAGAATTGAATTAACTTGAAGAAATGATAATGTATTGTGTGTGTGTGTGTGTGCCGTTGCAGAAAATCTCAATGACGTAACAATCATGAATCGATGTTCAATCGATGTTGCTTCCGGTGAACTGGATAGTCGAATTGGGCGATAATTGAATTCACTGATGAAAACATTCTCAAATCGCTAGGCTTTCTTTCTTAATCACAACCACTTACTGATGTTGTTTGTCCATGTTCATCCAAAATTATGATTTTTAATTTTGTGGTATGATGTGACCTTTATTTATATATATATATAATATCAAATATATCTGTTTGAAATATAATTATAAATATAAGCTGGTTATCAACTTTTGAAGTCAAGAGCCAAGCAGAAAGAAGCTACAGAATAACACACTAACAGAAACTCAGCTGCTGATGTAAGCTGAAACGTTCTGCGTGGACATGTAATTGGTCAAATCAAATACAATAATAAACCTTTTTAACATGTTCATTTATTTATTGAATGCTTTGTAGGGATAACTGATTTTTGTTAGAATAAAAATCTACGTCATTCGGGAGCTGCACAGTCAATAACTTGGTAGGTATTGTGAGAAATCATCACTTGGTCACAATGCACCTTAGTATATTGATTATCAATTCAACGGTATAGTTCATCTAGTAATTTCCCAATGTCTTTTCGTAAATAAACAAATAATTCATCATATAGTGATGACCGGAACGAAAATCGATGAAAAATATCGACTACATTTTTGACATACATAGTTTTCGTTGAAAGCATAATATCGACTGGTCAGATAATTTCAAAACTAATATCTGTAAATAGATAATTTATTGCTAATTGACAGTATAACCTGTAACTTTTACACTTAACACATATAAAAAAAAATAAACGAAATATTCTTATTGGCTAAGCTAACATGTTGAAATATAAAAAGCAATTAATCAACCTGAACATATTTTTTGCAATACCATCTTGATGAATTCGAGGAACCTGATAAAGGAATCTAATAAATGACCGAAGTTAGTGATGTTAATCGTGTATTGTGAACGGAGTAAGGCTTGAGTATACATGACTATTGGATTATGAGTCAATAATCGAGAATTATATTTATCTATTTAAACACAATTATAGGTACAAAGAGGAACCATTCTGTTTATGCACCACACAAATCCATTGATTCGAGTGTAAACTGCAATACTTTCCGAGTGCCCGAACTAAGGCATGTGGTCTTACAGGGAGGCCACTAATCAAGCCTTTGATCTAGAGGTCTAATACATAAAGCGGTGGGGCAGCTTTAGGAAATGTGACCCCACAGTAGCCAGTAACCAACGGTAAGTTCATACGCCATTCGTACCATTAAGATCTTGGAGCCGATGTACACCATTTGTTTTGAATTAGGGTATTCCAAATTCCCTAAGTGAATCCACCGTACCCACCCACCCGTAGAGGTTATATGCACATGGACATATGAGAGCATTTCGAGAGAGAGTAGACTCTCCCCACATTCGGCCGTACCAGGGTATTTGCGGACTAGTGAGTAATAATGTCATTCCAAAGGAACTTAAAGCTTCCTTACTCCATAAGAAAAGAGCAAAGTATCAATCGTCTTGATTTTTTAGCAGCTGTTCATCGATTGAGATGAAAACTACCTTTAAAACAAAAAATGCTCATTCTAAAAACATAACTGCTTTAAGAAATCTAAAAAATACAACCAAGGTAATCTACAAAAATGTTTTACATAAAACAACAAGTTACGAGTATGATTTAAGTGACAAGAACAATCATAAGAGATGTTTTCAAATATCAACTAGTTGATTGGCTGAAGAAATAAATATTACTAATACTTCGAGAATTAAATATAGTTCGATTCCACAAAGTCAATAACACTAAGCATAGTCGTACAGAACAGAATAATTTACACAAAGAAAACTAAAATTAAACGATTGGAACCTACTTGTAGATTCTGTGACAAGCGAACAAAATCAGCTTGAACCGATTCCACATTGTCTAAATCAGTTTGTAATCGAACAACTTGCTCTTGTAGATCAGTAATCCTTTTCTGAGCTTCAGTTAGACTAGTTTCAGTCGATTCATATTTGGCCTTTTTTAAATAAAATAAGATGTATCAACAGTTTAATTACTGAAAGACTATAGATTGTTGAAAGTTTAGGAGAATCCTATATTGTTTCAAGGCAACATGGTAGGTGAAAGGTAATAAGTGAATTATTCACTTAGCCAAAGACTGTGAGTTCACGAAAAAATATTGTTCCTTTAATGAATTATGTACATTATGATCCCATTCTAGCTAGAAAAAAGTTCGGCAGATTCTTACTCTCCGCATTACGCATAGTCAATGGAAGAGGAGTGTTAGATTAGAAGAAAAAAACTATTAGACTAGCAGTGATTATTTTCAGCGATTAACTACAATTGATGAAGTTGGTTTTGAATCTTAATCGACCGCGGTGGTTGCCTGCCACGAAAGGCAGAGTTATTTATCGTGAAAGTGAATTGAAATAAGACTAGGAGTGACCAAACCGAAACATGGAATTAGTCCATGAAGTTGTCGGTCAATAGAGTTGGAGACTCTAGATGATATGGCTCAGAATCAGTCATAATAAGTCTCATTCATGCTTTGTATTTATTGAGATTATGAGTTGAAGTATTCTTCCCTACACATCTATCTACTCATCCTATATTCTCAGCGTATAAACTTTCTAATTATCAATGTTTCCATCTAGTTTGAATTGTATAACTATTCTTCTTTTTTTTCTTTCATTCCATCGTGCTAGTGTGATATGTCAATTTGGGGTGAACGTACAACTAACTGTGATAAATTTGACACACTGATTACGACTGACTAACTAACTATAATGATAATGATATTTAAAAAAAAACACACAATAATATACATGCTACATAGATACGTACCTGTGTTTCATTCAGCTTAGATTTACATATTTTTAATTCGTCTTCATATTTCTGTCTTAAAATAGTTTCATGATCACGTTCAGTTTTAATAGAGACCAGATCAGTTAAAGATCTACGTGCATCTTCTAATTCCTGTAGGACTGATGTTTCGAAATTAATACGTTCTTGTTTTTCATATTCTAACTGTTCTCTGTGAGCTTCAGTTTCTTTTTTTAAACATTCTTCCAAATGATCACGTGCTTCCCTTTTTTATTTCAAACATAAAAGACACTAATTCTATATATATAAACGAATTTATAGTGTTAATTAGTAAGATAAAGTTATATTGATCAAGCGTAGGAGTTGTGAAGATTATTGAATTGTATTGAGATAACGAAAACACTAAAGTAAGACAACCATTGAAAGCCTGTAAGCATTTGGCAACTGTTTCGTCCCAGTATGTAACTCTTTAGCAGTGGACATTGAACTTGCCACCAGAAAGTGTACAATATTCAACAATTTCATTCTCACGAAGAAACAGCTTTACAGAATGCTTTCATGTCTTCAATGGTTCCCCAACCTAGAGGGCTCGTGATCTCAGTAAAATTAATGTAGATCATTTACGTTTCCCAATTAAAACTTGGATTCATACTACTACTGCTACATGATCAGAATAATGTTTCGGCTGTCGATGGACTAAACAGCATCAGTCACTCAACCCATCCTTTTACTAGAAACTTAAGTCGGTTAAAATATATATAAAAAGTTGTAATATATATTATGTGTAATAATATATCTGAGGCAGTTTTTAGTAAGAGGAACGTTCCTCATAGTTAATTGGTTAAATACGAAAACCGATCATAGGAGAACAAATAGAGAGTCGGAACCTATGTATAAATGTGATGACAGACTAGGAGAATTATCTCAAAAAAAATCAAATCCTGAGAAGATTCGTCGACAGTTGGACAACAATCTTCATCATACTCGTGTGTATAAATTGGCTGCATACACTTCCAGTAGAGTGTTTACCGTGTAGTAGTGGAAATAAACTGAAGGAACCCTTCGCTAAGTCATTTAATCGTACAGATCCAATGATTTCACAAAAGAAATCATGATACACCGGCATATTTCAGTGCAGTATAATTACTCATTCAATCGAGAGTGCAGAGAATAGAACTTACCAATCATCAAGATATTTTATTTGTGTTTGTTAAGTCGATAATCTATTCACACTTCAAGCTCTGTTTTACTTATCTAACAGCTAGTGATATGATCTTGATGAAGTGATGTTAGAAATTCACTATTACAACTATCGAGACCATTAAAGACATAAATCAAACAGTGTGTGTGTGTGTGTCTGTGTTCTGAAAGATAAACAATTAAACATTATAACAAATCTATTTAAAAAAACTAGATGTCCATGTGATAGGAATCGATCAATCAGTTAGAAATATGGGACAATGAACTGGTGGAAATTCAGTACGCTACTACAGATAGCTTATATGTAGTTAGAAGTAAAGTAAAACCTACAAATAGTGAGTTAAGAAAATATTGAAAATGAATACATGCAGCAAAACTAATGAATAAGAACAAACTTCAATAATCGTAAAAATAAGTCCAGTTGAGATTAATCCGTGATTAAAAAAATATGAAGATAAGTTTTCTAATAAAGAAAAGCAAATAAAGAGGTTGCGCAAGACCGTGTGGATTGATCGAAGTTAAACATTACTATCGTTGAACGCCAACACAGTGGTCCAGAGGTTAAACGTTCACGCGCAGGACCGAAGATACTGGGTTCAAATTATGCGAGTAACGAGACCGTGGGTGCGCACTGTTTATGAGTCCTATACCAAGACGAAACGTCAGTCCAGTACTACCAAGTTTCTAATAGTGGTTTAACAGTGATTCGTTCATGAATTCAGAGGTAAATAAAAAGTTAACCTCTAAAACCACCACCACCACACTACCACTAATAATAATAATAATAATGATTCATAATATGAATAATCTACACTTACCGAAATGATAAATTTTCCTCATATAATTTTAAAGTTAAATGTTCTAATTCATCTTTTTCACTTGGTAATTGTACTGGTTGTCTACTTAATTCTATAGCAGCTTGTGTACGTCGACCAACAAGTGAATCATAATGTGAACGAATGATTTCTAAGTTCGTGTTTGCAATTTTACGTTCAATTATTAAATTAGATATTTCTTTCTCAGTTGCTTCACGATACGACTATCAAAAACAAAAAAGCAGTAATAATACAGCATGTATAATGAGTGCTTCCAGATTTCAATTAGTGGTTTAGGATTGATTGATTCATCAGTTCAGTGAAACTCAACAATCTGCACTACCATGCACTCATTAGTGACCAACATCGCGGAGAAATTCTCGGAGATCAAAGTTCAAGATATGATTCCGGAAGTATAATCCAAGGTTTAAATGAAATATTTCAATGTTGATAGTTTAAAAATGGCTGCATGAAGGAAATCAAATCATTATAAAGCGTATGTGTTGTGTAGTAGAACATATCAAAGATAAACATGTCATTATAGGGAGATAAGTTACTGAAGTAATCGATTCTATCATCAGAATTGATTGCTTCAAGTGGTGTTCGTCACGGTTGACCACGTTCTCCATTCTTATTTAATTTTGTCATTGACATGCTTTTAGAGATGACACTTCCAGACGTTCATCTTCTACCTGGAGACTATCTTATCGACTTGCAGTATGTCGATATCATGGTTCTACTTGGTGAAGACGCTGCCAAAATGCAGTCTTCTGGTCACCCTGAGCAACAATGCATCGCCGCCTGAACTAGTGGTAGGGAGTGAAGTAATAAAGCATGTCGACCGTTTCACTTATCTCGGAAGTCTCATCAGTGTTGATGGACCGGCAACTGGCGAAATCACAGCCCGGATACAAAAGGCCCGATTTGCTTTGCCAACTTGAGTCACTTATGGAAAAGAGGACCAATGTACTCCGCAGCAGTTCGCTCCGTCCTACTTTATAATTTTGAAACATGACCAGTAACAATAGAGGATATTCGTAGGTTATTAGTGTTCGATCATAGGTGTCTTCGAAGCATCGCTTGAATATCCTGGGACAAACGAGTAAGTACTGCTATTGTTAGGAAATGGGTACTAGCTAAGGATCATAGGTAAATAGATGAATTATTGGAACTTCAACAGTTGAGATGGTTAAGACATGTATTATGTGTGCCCAACCATCGACTGCCTCGACCAGAGATATTTTGTGGTATAGAAGAGGGGTGGAAGAAAGCTGGGGACGGCCAAACCAAAACATGGCAGAAATCCATGAAGTCACTGGCAAATGGATTAAGCCATGTTGGTAAGTGTAGACTTCCTGGTTGGGGTCCACAGGATTATAGTAATCGATGGTTAAAGACCTTGATTGAAATGGCCAAAAGTCGTTTGCAATTGCGCACGTGAATTTATTCTCTGTGTTCTCTCAAATCCTAATCTTCTGTATTCATCATGACCGTTTTTTACTCATATTTTTTATTTATTTAAGTTGATTCCTATAGGATATACTTCTCGAATGATATCTTCAGTCACTTTCATATTGCCGCTAACGTTTCTACTACCTCTACTACTATGGGATTTGTATGTGTTAGTGTGATATGATGACTTGAATTGATGTATGTGCGTACGAAGTTCCATGTCGTAGCTAAACCGATCGAGAGTTACGGTGAATTAGAACACCGCTTTCTGCATAATACCATAAATATTAGACAGGAAACAATATAATTGAATGCAGATTATAAAATAGGTATGAAATTAGAGGTGATGGGTAAGAAATAATCGCATCTGTCAGCTCTAGTTTCAGGTGTATGGGTTCGACGAAATTTCGATGTCACATATATTTTAGCTTTCCGAAGCAAACTACTGAAATGCTAATTAGGTAGGAACAAAAGTTGGATTTATATAAATTTCTGAAGGGTAGTCATTTTTACTCTCAAAAACTAAATATGATTCGAAATCCTGGATAACTGCAAGGTTGTTTAATTCTTAGCGGTTCATACCAGATTAGGTCTGGAACTTCTTGGACAGTTAAATCATTATAAAAAAATTGATTGGATAGTTTATGGCCAACAACTGAGTAATAAACTGTACATTAGCCATGACAATAAAATATATTACACAATTCTACTATAAATTATCATTAATTTAAAACTAACCAAGTAATGTACAAATAAGTAGTGTTAGGAAACAATAAACGCAAAATAATTAAATGAATAACTAAACGAGTAGTAAACTTACTTTATACTCTAACATCAAACCATCCAATCGTTGAGCCAACTGGTTTGCAATTGTATTAATTTTGTCTATTTTGGATGTTTGTTCAGTAACTTGAGTTTTAAGAGCATTTTCCAATTCTAACTGACGATCTGAAGCGATTTTCAGTGCACGATTTTTCGAATCTATTTCATTTCTAGCTGCAGCAAGTTGCTTTTTTAACTTTTCCTAAATGGTTTTTTATTAATAAAAAGCTATTAAATAAGATCTGATATTATACATGATTAAAAGTGTTGGGTTTCATAGAAAAAGACTGAATGGTATGAGTTAAAATTTTCTTCAACAACGATTGATCACTTTTATATGATTCAGCAGAAAGAACACATACACTGAGATATATTAAAGTTGCCTATACAAACTATACGTTTTTGCGTTGTAGAAAAGACAGTCATAAAGAGGTATGTAAACTTGCACTGACCATGATTTCCCTCAGTCTGATTAGATAATACCAAGAAACATGCTTTCATAAAATGATTGTAGACAAAATGAATCACAAATAATACGACTCTCAACTTTATATTAAGGATATTATTATTATTATTGTTATTAATATTGTTATTATTATTGAAATTAAAATGATGGCTTTATTCGATTTTGTGTTTTATACTGTTATGCCCTGACACTGACCAATGAGTGCAGATGTCATTTGAGCAGCTAATGCGCAGAAAGGGCGAGAGAACTGATACTATGTCTGTAATTGGTCCAATATTAACTAGTTTCGAATACAGAGGAAGAACAGACAACCAATGATACCAGTTCCAAATCACGATTGTCACTATATTTCACAAAAATAGACCACATTACTCTAATAAATCAGAAATAACAATTATTGGCTGTGAGTGGGAGAGACTGAATAATGAACTGTGAACAAAATAAAAAAGTATGTTGTATGGTGAACGGTTGTGGGTTAGTGGAAAGCTTGTGATAATAGAAATATTTAAACCTGATAATCTGCTTGCTGAATAATTATACATGATTTTCTATTTATCTAAACACATTGGTGCAAAGGGACACCTGAATATTTAAGAACCACATAAATTACTGAATTTGTAAGTGGGTTGTGATTATCCCCGAACGCCCGAATCGAAGCAGTTGATTTCCTTAAGGGGCCACATACTGAGACTTTAACGCAAAAATCTAATCCGTGAGGCAATGGAGCAACGTAAAAAGATGCAGTGTCATGATAGCCATTGATCAACAGTGGGTTCATATACCATTTATCCCGTCACGACCCTGAAGCCCACGTACACCACTGATTTTTACTCAGCTCTCCTAGGGAGATCCCCAATACCCACCAACCGCATCTAAGCGCTGGAAATTTGAACTGTCGGGTTTCAGTTTAGTGATCGAAATGCTTGTAGCTTAGATCAAACCACACTTTAATTGTGTGGGCTGGTGATACTACCGGTTTCGCAAACCAAAGTAGGTAGAATGGGTTTGAACCTGTGACTCAGTTGCTAAAAGTTGGATGCCCTAACCGCACAACCCCCGATCAAGATGCAACACACTGCAAGACTTAAAAATCCTGATTTCGGTTCCTGATCAGGAGAGCAACTAGTTCTATAACTACGGTAAACTATACTCCCAGAAAATATATTTATTATACCAATAAGCAACTTAGCTCACCTAAAACTCATAGTATATATATACATATATATGTTCAACCAATAGTGAAAGCAATGAAGATTATGTTTATAACAATGATACTGACACGGGTAAAATTCCAATGGACAAGTAAATAAAAATAAACCAACCGTTGTATCCGCTAAGTAGGTTTGTTCTTCAAGCGATAATATAGAATGATCACCCATTGATTGTGTGTCAACAGTCGACTGAATATTTTCATCATCTTGTTTAGCATTAATCGGATCATTACAATTATCATCCGATTTGTTAATGCAATTATTTGAATTACTAGCAGGATCAATCATTTTATCATTATAATTAGCAATAGTGTTTTCAGAAATGTCTATTTTTGAACTTGAATTATGTAAAATTTTGTTAATAATTTTCTCTTCTAATAATTTGTAAATTGAAGATTCTAAAAAAAAGGAATGTATTGTTTTTTGCATTGATAATAATAATAATAAAAATAGTAATAATAGTAATTATATATAAATATATATATATTTATATATTTATTTACAGTACTATTCATAAACTACCATTAATAAGTAATGCATCTATTAATCAACTTTGTATCGTATATGACGTGGTTGTGCATAATTAGTGTATATAGTGCTGTAAGTTTTTAAGCTTAATAATAAACAGTATACTGTCTCCTACTCTGCATCGTCTGCCTTGCTACCGAGGACAAAAAGAGGTACACATGGACTATGAGGAATTGCGATTGCCAGTCAATTTTATTATTTGATTAAAGAAGTCACTGGTCTGATCACAGTAAGCAAAACTCGTAATTAGTGGATTGATTATATAATCGCGTCAACCGGCTAGATGGGTGGTATATGAAAAAAGAAGACGGTCAGACCAATATACACAATATAATGCAGTTGAATAGCGGCGACTGATGATTAGGAAGCACTGAAATGAACGATTCAGATGTAAGTGAAAAATAACATCATATTAACACAGAGTCAATATATAAAAAAAAAGAAGTTTAGAAAATCAGTTAGTGTGAATAAGTAGTGACATATTTTATAGGAACTAATGTAAAGAACAATACAGTCACCAGGTGATTTGAGTAAAAATCAAAAATACAACAATATTGAAGAGAGTCAGGCTACCTAGTTTTATCATGGCACAAATCATGAGTTTGGACATGTGACCTTACTAACGTGATATGGAACTCAGGCTCTTTTTAGGCTTGTCAAAAACACTATTTACGCATCGATCTAATCCTGCTACCCAATATCAGTCAGTGGTTGATAACAACTATCTTCTGAATAAAAAACTGGACTGTCAGTTACGTTCGTAGTTACAACCTCATTGAGAATCATACTGTTAACAATGAGAGGACATAAAAGGCGTAGTAACGTTAAACTTTATTATGATAAGATAAATTGGAGCATTGATTATGGTCAGGAATATACGTTCTTTCGTTAAGATTTAAAAAAGAACTTATGCAATAATAAAAGTAGTGAACTTTAGTTCATCTTAAAAACATCAATAATTTGCGCATTGAATTTTGCAATAACAAACAGACAGACAAAAAAACAACCAGACAACAGACAACAAATTAACAGACACATAAAGGTATCACACCGATAATATTAATGAAAACAATCACGCAACAATAAATATTGAAGTGATGAAAAAGTAAATAACTTGATTTCACGTTGTATTTATATTTCTAACTAATTACTTGTCTACTACTACAGTTAAGAGAATAGATAGTCAGATGACTTCAGTGAATAATCGATAAAACAACAAACAAGAATTGATTTTGACCAGAAATAAAAACGTCGCAATCAATCAATTCTTCATCGTGATACATAGACATGCATAATTACATCTGGTGAGTTTTTGGTTTACTTTCGAATGAATAACAAACGAAGAGGGAAAACTATGATGTAAAGCTAAAGTGACCTAGAGATATTAAACGAATAAGGAGCTTTTTAAAATCAAACTAGACTGGTTACATCTTCAAGTAACGTGATTCTGAATATTATTATTATTATTGTATAATTTCATTCCGAGAATTCATTCCTGCATATCGTATTACAATTCATTTTAGCGTTATTGATCATTTGAACTCTTTTAGTGTTCTATTTTGCTTAATTAATGTGACGTGGCAATACGGGCTGACGGATGTGTGGCCATACAGTAAGGTCCTACATTGTTAATAATTGATTGGATGACATTGTATAATTGTTTCATGAAACAAAAATTTATTTAATAGTTGGCACTGAATAAATTGTATATTAGAATTTAATAAAGAACTTATTTGCTATGTTGAAATCGAGAAAAAATACCTTTAAAAGAAAAAACAGCAACCTAATGAACCAAAAAAATGCGAGACACATTCAAGTGATAAAATGAGAACAGAGGAGTGGCCTGATAAAAGTATTAACTGATCCACGCATTCATCTGATATAAAAATGGAATGACACATTTTTCAGCTACGAAACTAGAAAAAATTGCAACTCAGATAACAAAATGAAAACAAGATTAATATTTACCAACCGAGAATCCTCGGTCGATATAGATTGCAGGCTCAAATATCACCACATCATCTATCTACAGAATGACTAGACTGATTGAAATGTTATCATGTCACTTTGTAACTACAAAAAGAAATGATAACTCAAAGATTTATATATATATATATATATATATATATATATATATATATATATATAGATGTCGGTTTCTGAACTGTTGGAAATGTATAGTCTTTAATCAGACTACTACTACTAGGTGGGATTCATGCAAAAAATAGATTGAGTTAGTTAAAATTACTATGAAGTGTGATTAAATGACTTTTTCATAGTTTAATTTTCGATATAAATCCTAATCTCTTAACAACTTTAGTTTCAGCGGAGTAAGTCAGTCAGATGCAACGTAGAACTTTGTACATAAGTACATCAGTTCATGTTGCCATACCACATCAGCACAGAGAAGTAATCGTCAATTCAAATCCAATAGTAGAAGAGGTAGTAAGGGAATTAGAAATAATCGGAGAGGTTAGGATTAGAAGATATTATTCAAGAAGTATGATTCAGTGAGATAAGTTTAGAGAGTCGAAACTAGAGGTGTTGAAGAATCCAAAAAGATTAGCATTTGAGAGAACACAGAGAATAAATGCACCGGCGCCATTGCAAACGATTTTGAGCCATGTCATTCAAGGTCTCTAACCATCGATTATTATCATCTCGCGGACCCCAACCAGGTAGTCGACAATTACCAACATGGCTCAGTCCACTAGTCAATGACTTCATGGATTTCTGCCATGTTTTGGTTTGGCCGCCTCTAACTTTCTTCCAACCTATTCCTACACTACAAAACAAGGCTCGACGAGGCAGCCGGTGGTTGGGCATACGCAACACATGTCCCAACCACCTCAACTGGTGAAGTTTCAATACTTCGTCGATTGATCTGCCATTCTTACCTAGCACCCGTTTCCTAATAACAGCGTTGCTCACTCGGGTGTCCCACGATATACGAGCAATGCTTCGAAGACACCTATGATCGAAAACCATTAACCTACGAATATCTTCTACTCTCACTGGCCATGTTTCACAGCCATAAAGTAAGACGGAGCGAACTACTGCGCAGTACACTCGTCCTTTAGTTAGCAAACGGATATCTCGCCTACGCCATAAGTGACGCAGGTTGGCAAAAGCCAATCGAGCCTTCTGTATCCGCGCTGAGATTTCGTCAGTCACCAGGCCATCGGCACTGATGAGACTCCCAAGATAAGTGAAGCGGTCTACACGTTCGACTACTTCACTCCCTATCACTAGTTCAGGTGCCGAAGCAACCCAGTCTTGAAGCAACATTTTGCATTTCGAGGGGGAAAATCGCAACCCGAACATGCTTGCATTGTTGCTTAGGGTAGTCAGAAGACTCTGCATTTTGTCAGCGTCTTCACCAAGTAGGACAATGTCATCGGCATATTCTAAGTCAATCAGCGAGCCACCTGGTAGAAGTTCTACTCCTGAAAATTCAGACGAGGATAATGTTATGTCTAGGAGCATGTCTATGATAAAATTAAACAAGAATGGAGAGAGTGGACATCCCTGACGGACACCACTTGATGTAGAGAATTCCGGTGACAGTTCGCCATAAGCCCTCACTCGACCAGTGGTGTTCGAGTAAAGAGCTTGTATAAGGTTAATGTACTTCTGTGGTACACCTTTCAATGACAGACACTGCCACAGAACCTTACGATCCACTGAGTCAAATGCCGCCTTAAGGTCTAGGAAAACAACTATTGTAGGACGCCTAAATGTGTGTCTATGTTCCAGGACCTGTCTGAGTGTGAAGACGTGGTCTATACAGCCACGTCCAGGTCGAAAACCAGACTGGTTTTCTCGAGTCTGCTCTTCACGAGCTTTCGTTAAGCGTCGAAGTATTATTGAGGCCAGTATTTTAGATACTATATTAGTTAGACTTATTCCCCTGTGATTGTCACAAGAAGACTTTTGTCCTTTCTTATAGATTGGGACAATCAAGGATTGAGACCAGTCGGATGGGATTACGTCCAGTTCCCAGATTCTACCTAAGATCTCAGTCAACCTAGCTGCTAAAACTGGACCACCATCCTTAAATATCTCGGGGGTCAGTCTATCAGGACCTGCAGCTCGTCCTCGTTTCAGATTTCCTAACGCTTTCTCAACGTCATCAAGACTAGGGGGACTTAGGTCGATTTGCCATTCAGGATGACTGGAGATCGTGGGTAACCGAAGAGTGGCTCGTGGCCAGTTGAACTGATCCCTAAAGTGTTCTGCCCATCGATCCAGTCTCCTGGATTGAGAATGGATAATAAGACCATCCTTTTCCGAGATAGTCTCACTCACATTCGGGTTCTTAATACCAGTTTCTTTAATAAGGCGGAAAAGTTGTCTACTGTTGCCGATCGCCGCTGCCTTTTCCATCGCTTTTGCTTTCGCCACCCACCACTGTTCGCGGTCGTTACGCAGACTTTTTATAAGTCTACGCCTAAGCTGACTACGCTCTTCATCATGCTCAGAGTCAGGTGGGATGCGTTTTCGAGCATCCATCAGTTCGGTGGATGCGACTGAAATCCACGGCTTCATCCTAGCCTCATGGTTTACCTTCCTAGCAGATATCACTGCTGTTTCCACAGCCTTTTTGATATCATACCAACCTGCTTCTGGATGGGAATCACTTACATCGTTGCATAACTCTCTTTCTAGTTCCTCCTGAAATATTTTCTTGGTTTGATTATCATTAAGTAAAACCCTGAGAGGCTTTCTTACGGTGTCTTTCCTACGTCCAGTAAGCCTTAAACAGATACGAGCTCGCACTAGAGCATGATCTGAATCCAAACATGTGCCCCAGAACGAGCGACAGTCTTCTATCGAACCCCTCCATCGGTGACTGATGGCGATGTGATCT